AATTATTAACTACAATCACGAATTGCTGAGTGTGTATTGTATACAGATTTAACATATATAACAGTAGTAGCACAAAAAAGGAGAAAAAAGACTAGAACCATATAAGAGTAATGCTTTTGTATCTTATTAAAACAAGTTCCCATAAATTAGAAATATTTAAGACATATTGTAAGCTCTGGAACAACCACTAAGAAAATGACTCAAAAACACAGTTAAAAAATCATAAAAGGAATCAAAATGCTATCGTACAAAACATTCACTTAATTGAAAACAGTAAAGTAGAAACAGAGGGACAAAAAAGGCATGGGATATAGAAAAAAGTAAAATGGCTGATACAAATCTAATGATATCAATAATCTATTAAATGTAAATTAATTAAACAACCAAATAAAAAGGCAGAGATTACTGGCATGGATAAAACAACAATAACAACACAACAACATCCAATTATATGCTCCATAGGAGACATGCTTTAGATTCAAAGTTACCATTAGATTGACAGTAAAAGGATGGAAAAAGATGCATCATGCAGATGGCGACCATAAGAAAGCGGGAGTGGCAATATTTATATTAGACGAAATGAACCTCAAAACAACAAAAAACGTAATTAGGAATAAACAGGGACATATTATAATGATAAAATGGTCAATCAATTAAAAAGATATAAGAATTATAAACATAGTAATATACATATATTTATATAAGCACATAATATCAAAGCCCCAAATACGTGAATCAAAAACTGACAATCTAGAAGGAAGACATAGACAATTTAACAAAAATAGCTCGATGTGTAAATAACCCATTTTTAATAATGAAGAGAACAATTAGTCATAAGATTTTCAAGGATATGGAACAACTAAACAACCGTGTAAACCAACTAGACCCAATGGACTCCTGGAGAACACTTTACCCAGTAACGCAGAACACACGTTCTTCTCCAGCACACGTGGAACATTGCACAGGACGAGAGTCTATATGTGAGGCCATAAAAGAAGCCTTAACCCATTTAAAAAGACTGAAATTATACAAAGTATTTTCTTTGACCCCAATGGAATGAAATTTGAAATCAAGGACAAAATAAATTTGGGAATTTATAAATATGTGGACATTAAGCAACACACTCCTAAATAACAAATGGATCAAAGAAGAAATCACATGAGAAATTAGATAATACTTTGAGATTAAGGAAAATGAAGACACAACATACCCACACTTATGGAAGGCAGCCAGGGCAATGCCTAGAGAGAATATGTAGCTGTAAATGTGTCTATTGAAAAAAAACAGACCTTGAGTCGGTAACTTGAACTGCCTTTCAACACGGACGAAGACGAGTTTAACTGAACTTTAAGCAACAGCCTTGCTTGGACCTTTCCCCTTCTTTACCCTGCTTCCCTTAGTACCTTCAGTTTCTTTCCCCGAAGAACATTGGCTCGGTATATCACATGTACTTGAACTGGTACCAGGCTCCGCTTCTAGTGAACCCAATCTGTCAACCATGCACTAGCTGTGTGATCTTAAGTAAGCCCTACTGTCTCTGTATATTGAAAATAATGTGGACTTTGCCTACCTTGTATAGTGCCCTGAAAACGATGGCTTGTTATGCAGATGAATGTTACAGTGAGGTGGCCTTTACTTTACCACCCAAGCACGTGTGAAACCAAGATCAAGTAACTTTCCTGAACCTTCCTTTTTTCCCCATTGAGGGATGTGCAGACAAGACAGACAATAGGAAACTCTGTCTTTTGAATAACATGCCGCCTAGATGTGGGACCAGACGCTTCCCAATCTGCCACTCTCTGGCTACCTCCTACTGGAGAATTCCCATGGCTTGGTTATTTTACGAATAAAATGAGAGCAATGACGACCACCTTCCATGGCTATGAAAATGATTCCGTACGAGCGTGCGTACAAGTTTTGTAAAAAAATGGCCGGGCGCGGTGGCTCATGCCTGTAATCCCAGCGCTTTGGGAAGCTGGAGCGGGCAGATCACGAGGTCAGGAGATCGAGACTATCCTGGCTAACACGGTGAAACCCCATCTCTACTAAAAATACAAAAAATTAGCCAAGCATGGTGGCAGGCACCTGTAGTCCCAGCTACTTAGGAGGCTTGAGGCGTGAGAATGGCGTGAACCCGGGAGGCAGAGCTTGCAGGGAGCTGAGATTGCTCCATTGCACTCCAGCCTGGGCAACAGAGCGAGACTCCACCTCAAAAATAAATAAATAAGTAAATGAAAATAGAATGGCAGATAGTTATTCAACAAATATTGGATAGTACGAACCGAGTACGTGTGTGCCCTCTATGTGCTTGAAAGGAAAACCCTGTGTGGTTACAGGCCCTGTCATTGTCCCGTTTTACAGAAAGGAAGTATTCACGGGTGTCTCCTCGGTCTCTGTGGACGTAGCTGTGAAGTTTGAGAAAGTCTCTGCCCTCCCTGTACTCACAGTCCACTTGAGGGCTGGTCTTTACTATTCGTGGCTACTAGGACATGGTAGGAGCAAGTTCCAAGAGAAGACAGGCCCAAAGGGGATGCTCACTCAGCCGGTCACCTGAGTCAGAAGTGCCCTCAGAGGTTGGTCCCTTCAGGAAAGACGTGTCCACCCTCCGGCCCCCCAGTGGTCTCGGTGGGCACCAGATCTGCTGTGATGAGAACAGCCTGAGGGAGCCGCTCTGGATGCCCCATGCTCCTGTTCTGACTCCCTCCCTCATTCAGACAGCAGGCGGGAGTGCTCCGTTAGGATGGAGGCTTAGACAGAATCTGAGAGTGCTTCATGGAGAGCAAACAGTGCTTTCTGCTAACATCGAAAACCAGCCGATGCTGTGACATCACTCACACTCACAGTTACACACAGAGGCTTATCTGTGGGGCTCTGAGAAGCAAAGTCAGGTCATAGTTAAGAAGTTTAAAGCTCATGTCTCCAGTCCCTAGGAGATGCTTCTTATCTCTGTTTGAAATTGACATTTAAAAGTTAATAGTTATGTTATTTAAATGAAATTCCAGTTAATTTCCATACTGTCATAAAGACAGGCTTTGCAATAAAAAGTTTCTGTAAATGGCAAGCCTAAATAAGCTGCAAAGATGAAGAAGATATTAACAATAAAATTATGTTTTGTGTCATTTCAAGTGCTTTGACTGTAGAAATCCATATTTAATCACCAATATAAGCCCAGAGACTTATATAAGGATATTTTTAACTGTGTTTTGCAGATGAAGAAGCCAAGGTGTGGAGAAGAAAAGGTACTTCCTAACATCACAGAGTGGAAGCACCCGGGTCAGAATTGGAGCCAGAATGGTCTGACCCACTCTTCTATCTTATAGCTCACCACTATCTCATATTGTCTTTTAAAAACATTACTGTGTATCAGTCTAAGGCCGGGCACAGTGGCTCATGCTTGTAATCCCAGCACTTTGGGAGGCCAAGGTGGGCAGATCACCTGAAGTCGGGAGTTTGAGACCAGCCTGACCAACATGGTAAAATCCCATCTCTACTAAAAATACAAAATTAGCTGGGTGTGGTGGCGCATGCCTGTAACCCCAGCTACTCGGGAGGCTGAGGTAGGAGAATTGCTTGACACTGGGAGGTGGAGATTGCAGTGAGCTGAGTTCGCGCCATTGCACTCCAGCCTGGGCAACAAGAGCAAAACTCCGTTTCCAAAAAAAAAAAAAAAAAGAAAAGAAAAAAATACTGTGTATCAGTCTATAAAATGTTTAAAGTCTTTCTATTTCATTTACTGGATCAAGAGACTACATTTTACTTGTACTTGTTTTTCAGGGCTACTAATGTGCCCTATGGCTAAAAGTCCAAAATTTTCAAAGAATTACCACGGAAACTCAATTTTTGATCTTTAATATATTGAAATTTAATACAGACATCATTTCTGAGTCTCTCATCATTTTTGAAATAAATGCTCAAAGCACGCCCCCAGCCTCACAAGGAGCCAGAGGGTTGTGGGAAGAACGGGTTGTGACTCAGCCCAGTTTAGCAGTATGATCTGTTGACAGAAAAAGGCCCTTCTACAGGGAGGGCCAGGGGACTGGGTGGGGGTGGGGAAAGGGGAAGAGACAGGAGGGAGGGAAGGGAGAAGGAAAGGGAGGGAAGCCACAGTCCCTGATGAAAATACACTTTCCAGCAGAGGGTGATATTTTTGAAAGCTTTGATTTGGTTGCACATGGTACAAAAATGCAGTCATGATAAGCAAAACTGAAATATGTTTCTTTTATACTACAGATTTATACAGCAGTGAGTAAGAAAGATTGAATAAAGATGAAAGAAGAGTTAGAAATACTTCGTCCTAATAAGGCTGAAGGAATTTAAAACTATGTCAACAGGGCAAATCTACAAAGGATAGTTTAGGAAGAAATGGACTGAAATTTGAGAAGAAAATGATTTGAGCGTACCAGGAGATTCGATTTCCAGTCCCTTGCAAAACGACAGACTGAAGATGAGCATCAGCCCTAAGAGGATCCCTCTGTAGGAGACCTCTGTGAGCATGCACATCCGCCCGACAGACGCCGGACTCCCAGGAGCAACGTTATAAACTGAAATAACGTGAAGTTCTTCTCTACTTAAAGAATTTGGAGGAATATGAATATCATATGTTGCAAAACTGGATTTTTCCACAAATGATGATGCACTCACTGCCCACGTGATTTCAATGTCCACTGAAGGAGAAGGGTGGCTTTGCCATGAGCAGCCCATAAACTGCCAATGACAGCTGGCCGGGTGTTGAGATGTACCTGTTACACAAATGTACATGAGACAGAAGCAGATAAAATGGCAAATGAAAGAAACCCTACTCCTAATGAAAAAAAAGGAAAGAAAATGGGAACCATCAGATAGCTGTAGTTAGACATTCATTGAGAAAATAAAGGAAACAATTTTTCCTAGGTGCCAACGGTAACAACAAGAACACTAGGAAGCCTCTCAGTTTTCACAGATTGCATCTTAGGTGTCTTCAGAGGATATGGCAGTTGTATGCACAAGTACAACCTACTTACCTCAATTCCTATTTCAAATCCCCCACCAAGGCCAGCTATTCCAATGGCTGAGGGTGCAGACCATTCTAATAAAAAAACAAACAAATGTTATCCTAACATTAAAACACCCTCAACATGTGAATATAGGAGGGAAAAATGCTAAAATCTAAAGAGTGCTTCTATTTAAAATAAAGAGACTTGGTATTTCCCCCTGTTTTAAAGTGTTCTTCAAAAAGAATGTATAATTTTTAAAAAGTTGAAAATATTTGAAAAGTATTAGATATTCATTCCCAGTCTCATAGCCTTACAAGCCCACGTCCCCTAATCTTTCTCTGCCAACATGCATAAGACCAAACTATTGGTTCCCTAACCATTAACCATACAGAGCACCTGGTAACGTCAACTGTCAATACTTTTATAAAACAACTTAGCTGTAGCTCCAGTCTTCAGCTAGAATTCTGTCACAGATTTAAGAGATCAGAAGGATTCAACAGAGTTTATTATCTAACAGTAACATAGTAATTGTTTCCATTGTACATTTCTGAGGGCAAAAACTATTCTAACACCTCTGATGCTTAAGCACAAGAAACAGGCTACAAATTCAAGGTCGTTAAAATTCTAACAAGATAAATTACATTTAGTACAGTAATTCTATTTGCCATGATATGGTTCACTTTAGGATTACTATATGCTTATTTTTCTTGATACACAAACAGTCATGTTAAACAAGTCTAGAAAAATGTATTTTCAATTTGGTGGGGGGATGGTCTGGCCAAAGCACTTTTTGAAAATGGTTGCTACCACGCATACTAGATAATAGAACACTGCTGGAATATATCCAGAACTATCCTACCTAGGCTTAGAGAAGTATGGGTTACAGAAATCAGTGTCTGATAATTTTTGGTTCCCTATGTTAGGAACTGTCCCCGTGTTAAGACGGCTGGTCTTGGCCGGAATCCCGGGGAACGTGTCGTGCCTTATTTGGACAGTTTTGAAATTACTGTCCGTAGAGTCAGCAGCTGCAGCTCAGGAAGAAGGGAGAGAAAAGTAGGTTTTGAAACCAGTAGGAAGGTTTGCTGGGGCTCTGAGACGAGCTCAAGGCTTCGTATTGGCTGTCCCTCCCCTTGGTCAGCAAGTCACCCCGTCAGTGGGGCAGCTGGGGGACCTGAGACACGCGGGGACTTTCTCACAGACTTTGAGTCGCATCTGACAATGGGCCCCCTTGGAATGTGCCTCTACTTTGTTTGGTTTTACTGCTGAGAAGTCTGCCCATGGAAATTTGGATAATGCTTGAGAAAAAGAGAATTGTTTTCTTCCCATTTTTAAAGCCACACACTGAGCTATGAAAACTGATCCATATAACAAGGAAGAGGTTCTTGCTGACTGTGGGGATACCTTGGGAAGAAATGGTGAATCTGCTGACTGCTAAATGGTGAATCTGCTGACTGCTATTTCCAGGCCATGTTTCACAAATGCATATATTGTATACTTACTGTCTGTGAGTGTCCCATGCTCTCTCAAAATAAAATAAAATTATGCTAAAAAACTGCTACTAATAGAAAATGTGTGCACTGAACAGCCAATGTTAAATTGGTATAAAAAACATTTTAGTTGGTTTTGACACACCTGTGTGTGTTTTAAATATTACTATAAATGTTAGTACTTGGGATTCATGGCAAATATTTTGATTTAATCTATGAAGAATCAAGTAGTAGATTTCATCCCAGAAAGTAAAACCTGATGATACTGCTCTTGATATGATTCTGGCTTGGGAAAATTCTTCAAATGTCACAGCTTTTATGATCTACCACAGAAACAAAGAAGTTCACACATGGCCCCTTATTTTCACATCAATTTCCATAAAACAAAAGAAAGTAGCATACCATGAAGCTGAGGAATAAGAATTCATATTAAACAAAAGAAATGCACATGCTGCCATATTTAAAGATTTTCTCCGTGGAAGAATTACAAAATGCATGCAAAACAAAGTTAGATCTACGTGTCGTGTCTTGTCTAATATTTTGAGGACAGAGAGAGACAGAAAGGCTAGTTCCCGTGGCTTGTTCACTGACACCAAACTGCACGTTCAGTCGAGTAGCCCTGATTACGTAAGTTTTAGTTGATATGCAGGAAACCTGTCCTACTCGCTATGCAATGTGTTCACATGAAAACAGACAGAACAAAGAATGAAGATTCTCTGCTCCAGTGAACAGACGCCAACTTACTTCCATCTGGAAGGCGCGCCAGTACAATCCCGCTGCCTCCTCTGGCGGTCACCAGGAACCCGGCTTTGATCACAGACAGAATTGCAAGGCCTTTAGCCTTCGCAATTACATGAGCTGTTAACGTGGAAAACAATGGGAAGGTAAGTATTTTGATCTATGTGCCTGGATAGACGATCAAGTGTTAAACAGAGTCAGAGTTAGGAAATACACCTAATGTAAATGATGAGTTAATGGGTGTAGCACACCAACATGGCACATGTGTACATATGTAACAAACCTGCACGTTGTGCACATGCACCCTAGAACTTAAAGTATAATTAAATAAATAAATAAATAAATAAAACAGAGTCAGTGTACACAGAGGTTCTCCCTAGGAACTCAGGGCACACAGGAGCAATGAACAAAAGTCAGTCACTCAACAAACGGGCATGAGGCCTCTCTATTCCCACATGTGTTTTTTGTGTTTGCTATTTTTGCAGTGCTAAACACAACATCATAAATATTCTCAAATCCTGTAACTGACAAAATAAATTAGATATTTGAATGAGATTTTATTGATATCTGCTAGTATTGCAAATATTTTGGCAATTTCAATTAATTTAGGATATAGTGCACAACATAGAAGATAAAAGTTACGTTTTCAATGAAATTAAGATCCATATAGTACTAAGGAGAAACTTTAAAAATTACAAAAAGGCAGCATGAATTAGAACTTTGATCTTAAAGCCATGTAGCTAAATTAACCTTGTATTAATTTAAAAAGTTGGATTCAAAAACAGAAAAATTAAGTAGTTTTTCAATGTTAAACCATTTTTAACTTTATAAAATGATCCGCAATAGCATTTGAGTACCACTTAACTATTAGTACACTGATAATATAATTCCATTTAAAAATATTGGTTTATTCACATTTCAGAAATGTTCATTACATAAAATGAGGGTTATTAGTGTATGTATCCAATGAATACAGTCCCACAGGATTCTGTGAATTTGTGACACAATGATACATCGTTCAAACTAACAAGGGAAGCCTATCATATAACTTTAAGGTAGCTTAATTTATTATTATTTTTGTCAAATATTCTGCCAAGGAAGTGAAGTCAGACCTGGGGCTCTAGTACACAGAGCAAAGGCTTTGCAGATGCCCCAAGAGAACACTAAAATTCTCATGTAATTATGCCACCATTTCAAAGTTTAAACTAAGAACCGACTCTTAGAAATAATTCATCCAACACCGTGAAGTTCACATGCAGAACATTTGTGGAGCTGTTCTTAATAAGAAAGCTACAGAAAATAAGGTTGCATCCTGGATGGCTGTCTACTAAGTGTACTTTATTTTTGTATTTTAAAAGGTTATAATTATATTGTAATAAGATTAAAAGCTGTATAGTATGTCATGCAGGTTTATTTTTATAGCCACTTGTTGGCAGAATGTCTTCCTCACATTCTATTCTCAATGCTTCCAGAGTTGCTATTGCCCCTATTGGGAATACTAGATATTAACAAAAGCATGTTTTAAAATGAACATATTCCACATGTCAATTATATTTTTATAGATTTCCACTCAAATTCAGGGACACTAAAATAATAATAATCACTGAATAATCTACCAATTAGCTTTTGATTTATAACATAGAATGTACCAATTATAGATTTAATTGCTAAATTAAGTTTCACTTACTTCTTAGAATCCTAACATTAGAGGAGGCCAAACACACCACTGGGAAGGTCTCAAGATCTAGATGTCTTGCTTAAATGTTTTGTAGATGCAATTGCTTATCCTATGAAATAGCATCTTTGTTTTAATGTAAATATAATGCCCCCCACCAGACTCCAAGGAGAAGTGGGCCTGGATCTCTGTTGGCTGTGGAACTTCTGTCTTTGCCACACCCACGCCTTGGGGTAATCTATTACTTAGACTAACATGCAAACAGAATTTCTTTTTCTGAGCTTCACCCACTGACAGGGGCTCCTTCAGAATACTGATACTGAAAATCTAGTTTTTCTTGTTGAGTTTTCTTTAAGCTCTAAAGCAGCGCTTCTGAAACTAGTGTGTGTGTGTACTTCACTGGGACCTTGGGAGGAATGCAGACTGATTTGTGATATCTGACCAGATTTCTCACAAGCTCCCAGGGGATGTCAAGCTGCAGATTCAGACTGCACCTGGAGTAGCAAGGCTCTACCAAGCACTGTTTCCTCAAGACAGGAGGAGTCACCGGGCCAATGCAACAATAATTAATATCATGATTAAAATTATTAAAACAATAACAAATTTTTAAAACATTATTTAAAGTTTTATTACATAACTTTAGATATCTGGCTTAGAAAAATTAAACTTATCTCTTTAATGCAGGACCCAGAGTCATGTACTCTGATTAAGAGGGAGGCTGGTCTGTAACAGTGTCCAGGCTAATTGGCATGAGACAAGCATTCTGTGAACACCCTTTGGAAATAACTAGAAGTGCTGATGAACAGATAGTGGTTTTCAAAGGCTCCCCTCTGGACCGATCTTATGTGTCACTGACTACTTAAGAATTACATGAGAAACACGTTTAAAACATGCGTTCCTGGACACACTGCACTAAAAGTCTGATTCGGCAGGTTTGGAATGAAGCTTAAGAACTGTGCTTTTATGGTCTAGGGGATACTGATGCACATCTGTGTTGGGAATTACTGATTAATGTCTTAAACCACTAGAGAATGTAAATGTCTTATGTGGAAGGAGGAAACACAAAATTAAAATTTATGTATGAGATTAGTTGGTGAGTTTGCGAGGTTAGCTAGCAGAGTCCTTAGCACGCAATGTGAAGGACAGACAAGGCTGCAGAGAGCTGAAGTGGAACAGGAACACGTGGTGTTTAGGGCACTGGCACCCCGGGGTGGGAGGCAGGAGAAAAAGCCTAAGCAAAAGGGAGAGACAGGGAGGGAAGAGGCCCTGCTGGTTTGCCTGGTCTGCAGTTGGCCCTGTCCAGACCCCTTGCACCTGGAGTAGCAAGGATCTATGAGGACTGTTTTCTCACGATGGGAGAAGTGACAAGAATGCAAAAATAATTACTATCATTATTAAGATTATTCTATCAATAACAAATTTTTAAAACAGAGCTCAGAGTCATGTGCTGTGATTGATTAAGAGGGAGGTTGGTCTGTAACATTGCCAAAGTGAATTGGCATTTGGATCTCCTTTGCATGAAACAAGTTATGCTGTGAACACCCTTTGGAAATAACCGGAAGTGGTAATGAACAGGTAGTGGTTTCCAGAGCATCCCTGGATCAGCCATGAGAAAAAAGGTGGAGGAACTACTTGTTGGCATTGATAGGTGGCTTCTGCCTGAAATGGAGTGTTGAACAATGCAAAAAACAACTTAGGAAAAAAACATTTAGAGATGAACAGCACTCATCCTATTTACCTACCAGGAATGATCTTATCAGGTCCATTTCTGGAAGTTATTTCTGTGAATTCTCTTAATATTTTGGCAGCCTTTTTTGCTTCTGATTTCAAATTGGAAGGTATAGGGTTATTCACTGAAAGATAAAAAAAGATATTTTAATCAAAAATTCTGCTAAATAGAAGTGAGACATTTATTATAATTTCATTCTTCCCATATACAATTGTCAGAAGTGTTTGAACCAGAGAGACTCCATCTTGAATAGGAGCTGGGGAAATGAGGCTGAGACCTACTGGGTGGGCTGCATTCCCAGGAGGTTAGGCGTTCCAAGTCGCAGGATGAGACAGCAGGTCCACACAAGACACAGGTCATGAAGACCTTGCTGACAAAACAGCATGCAGTAAAGGAGCCGGCCAAATCCACCAAAACCAAGACAGCAATGAAAGTGACCTCTGGTCATCTTCACTGTTCATCATACACTAATTCTAATGCGTCAGCTGCCAAAAGACACTCCCACCAGTGCCACAACAGTTTACAAGGGAACATGTAGGGAAGTTACCCTACATGGTCTAAAAAGGGGAGGAACCCTCAGTTCTGGGAATTGCCCACCCCTTTTCTAGAAAACTCACAAATAATCCACTCCTTGTTTAGCATGTAATTGAAAAATATAAGTATCCTTAGTTGAGCGGTCCATGCCACTGCTTGCCTATTGAGTAGCCCTTCTTTATTCCTTTACTTTCTTAATAAACTTGTTTTCACTTTATGGACTTGCCCTGAGTTCCTTCTAGCGCGAGGTCCAAGAATCCTCTCTTGGGGTCTGGATCGGGACCCCTTTTTGGTAACACAATGAAGCATTAACACAGCATAGCCTATCAAAGGAAATGACTTGGAAATGCTCATTGACAATATCATCTCTCTTTCTACTAATAAATAAAATCTATGCTGAGAGTGGGAAACTCTAAACTCTCAGAATCTCAGAAATTATAAAATCCTTGGGCCCCAAAGGATGTTAAACAAAACCTGGCCAAACCTCCGTTATGTATCTTCTTCCTGCAATTAACAGACTTCAATACTAACTTAAAATAAGAATTTAAAATTTAAAAATAAATATATTTTGTATCTATAATATGTAGTATAAAATTTAACATATTTTGTTGTTCTTGTCAAAAATGTTGGAACTGGCTGCCTGTAGACTTTCCGATGAGTAAAACTCTAGGAGACTTGGGAATTGAGTCTACAAGTAATGCCAGCCTGCATTTCTATGGCACTTTACGTTTTTAGTGTCACCTGGACATTTATACACTCATCGGAGGGCTTCTCATAAAAAAGCTCACATAATTCTTCCAGCTCTGAAGTGTATCAGAGAAGATGGACTATTCTCTTGTCACTAGACGAGGAATCACCAGAGCGAAGAAGCTGAGTGGTTTCAGTGCAGGACCACAAGAGCCCTGAGGCTGAGAAGTTCTTTTCTCACTGACTACAGTTAAGAGGCTCGTGTGTGACTGTACTGCACGATGTCAGGATCTGGAAGGTTGAAGGCATTCATTTCCACTGTTTCACCTCAGTAATTTACAGAATGTAGACGAAGTACGCTAATGGAAGCTTGCTTTTGTAAAAGGAAAATAAATCTCAGGACCCCAAAATCACCAAGCCAAGGGAAAAGTCAAGCTGGGAACTCTGTCAGGCAAACCCGCCTCCCATTTTGTTCCTAAAAAGATAGCTACAAAGGTAAGCTACACACTTCCCTCACAATTTGCCACAAGGAAATTCCCTGTGGACAAAAGATGGAACTCAGACTCTTCCCTCTGCTCACGTGAGACAAATGCCTATCTATTGTTTCCTTTGCACTGTTTGTTTCACTAAGCCAGACTAAGGCGTAAGTGACTATTCCTGTAAATTGCATACTCAAAGACTAATCAGAAACGCAAAAGAATGCAACTGTTAGTCTTTTATCTACTTATGATCAGGAAGCCCCCTCCCCACTTCGAATTGTCCCGCCTTTCTGGATCTAATCAATCTTACATATATTGATTGATGTCTCATGTATCCCTAAAATGTATAAAAGCAAACTATACTCAGATCATCTTGAGCACAGGCCGTCAAGACCTCCTGAGGCTGTGTCATGGGCCGCCCTTAACCTTGACAAAATCAACTTCTAAAGTTGCCTAAGACCTGTGTCAAATCTCAAGTGTAAACTCATGGTTTGCTCTTTCAACAGATCAAATGCTCAAAGAGCATAGGGAAAAAATCCCTTTCTTTTATTTAAGAAAATATAAATATTTCTAATAAAATGTGATGTATTTTGGTGCTTGGTATGTTTGAAAGATGTAATTTATTTTAAAAGTGAAAACTGGCTGGGTACTCCCAGCACTTTGGGAGGCCAAAGGAGGAGGATAACTTGAGGCCAGGAGTTTGAGACCGGCCTGAGCAACATAGTGAGACCCCATCTCTACCAATAAAACATTTTAAAAATTAGCCAGGCATGGTGGCGTGCACCTGAAGTCCTTGCTACCCAAGAGGCTAAGGCAGGAGGATTACTTGAACTCAGGAGTTTAAGGCTCTGCAGTGAGCTATGACTGGGCTACTGCACTCCAGCCTGGGCAACAGGGCAAGGCCCTGTCTCAAAATAAAATAAAATTTTAAAAAGTTAAAACTGACTTAGGGTCATTTTGCAGTTCTATTTTAATTTATTTAAAAGATGTCAGTATCAGTTGTTTGTGGCTCAACACAGGAGTATTAGTATCAAATCAGGAAAGAAATCCATCCCAAGAATCATCAATGGCATTAAGTAAGATAGAGGAAGGTATTTCCATAGATACTTTATGCAAAATTAAGTGTGCATGATGCATGTGTGTAGCTCTTTACTCCTTTTAAAAACAAGTGGCATCACAGCATTAGTGTATTTTGGCACGTTGCATTTTTAAATTATCTCAGAATAGTTAAAATATTGCCTCTCAGTGTAGGCTTTTCAAATCAACTTCATGAGACACAATTTACAAAATGAAACCTACCTGTTACAGGTATAGCTCAGTGGGCATGGAGAGAGAGAGGTAGAGACCACCCCTGATGACTCCATCCATGCCCTCTGCAGTAGTCACTCCTGTACCCAGTCCCTGCCTCAGGTTGGTGCCAATCTGAGTTCTGTCACTGAGTATGAATTTTGTCTGTGCCAGAATTTCCTGTAGTCATCAGTGTGTGTTCTTTTCTATCTAGCTTATTTTACTCACATGAAATTACTTAGACTCACTCACATTGCTGCATAGATCAGAAGCTCTTTCTTTTTGAGTGCCAACTGGTATTCTACTGTGTGGACATAGCACAATCTGTCCTTCCAGTCACTGTTGATAGACAATTGGGTTCTTTCCAGCTTTTGGCTATTATAAATAAAACTGCTATAAATATTCCTTTGTAAGCCTTTTGTGAAAAAATGTTTTATGGCCGGGCACGGTGGCTCATGCCTGTAATCCCAGCACTTTGGGAGGCTGAGGCAGGAGGATCACCTGAGGTGAGGAGTTGGAGACCAGCCTGGCTAACATGGTGAAACTCCATCTCTACTGAAAATACAAAAAATTAGTCTGACGTGGTGATGCGTGCCTGTAATCCTAGCTACTCGGGAGTCTGAGGCAGGAGAATTGCTTGAACCTGGAAGGTGGAGGTTGCAGTGAGCCAACATGGTGCCTTTGCACTCTAGCTTGGGCAGCAACAGTGAAACTCCATCTCAAAAAAAAAGAAAAAGAAAAAATGTTTTATTTCTCTTGGGTAATTACCTAAGATAGGAATTGCCAGTTCATGTGGTAAATGTGTATTTAGCAATGTAAGGAGCCACGTAAGCGTTCTCTAAAGTGATTATACATTTTAGGCTTCCACCAGAAACTTTTATAAGAGTTCTGGTTATTCCATACTCTCACGAACACTTTCAACGTCCAGTTTTTAAATTTTTAGATATTTTAATGGGTACATAGTGGCCTTTCATTGTGGATTTAATTTTCATTTCTCAGATGACTAATGATGTTGAACACTTTTTCCTATTTCTATATCTTGTAAAGTGTCTGTTTAAATCTTTTGTCCATGTCCTTTAACCACTTTTTAATGGAGTTGTTTTTTTTTGCTTGTTAAAGTAAGTTTCTTATACATTTTGGATATTAGACCTTTGTTGGATGTACAGCTTACAAATATTTTCTTCTATTCTGTAGGTTGCCTGTTTTCTCTGTTGATAGTTTCTTTTGCTGTTCAGAAGCTCTTTAAGTAGGTCCCATTTGTCAATTTTTGTTTTTGTTGTAATTGCTTTTGGTATCTTTATCATAAAATCTTTGCCAGGGATTATGTCCACAATGGAATTTCCTAGGTTATCTTCCAGAGTTTTTATAGTTTTAGGTTTTACATTGTTAAAGCAGGCTAAATATGACCTGAGGACTCCATACTTCAATATTTGAGTCCTTGTAGACGAACTGCAACCTAACTTAATATGTAGACAAGATTGAGAACCTAACTTAGAGTATGCATCTGTAACAATAGCTCAGTCTTGGCCAATCCCAGCAGCCATACTTCAATCACTCACACACTGCTGAGTGTTCAAATAAGGCAAATGATGACTTGTACCCAATCCAGTTGTTTCTGTACTTCATTTCTGATTTCTGTATATCACTTCCCCCCCCCTTTTTTTTTTTAAGTCTATAAACTTGTTCTGACCATGAGGCATCCTTGGAGTCTCTCTGAATCTGCTATGATTCTGGGGGCTGTCCAACTTGCAAATCATTCATTGCTCAATTAAACTCCTTAAAATTTAATTTGGCTGAAGTTTTTAACAACATTCAAGTCTCTAATCCATCTTGAATTTATTTTTTTGCATATGGTGTAAGGAAGAGGTCCCATTTCAGTCTTCTGCATATGGCTAGCCAGGTATTCCACCACCATTTATTGAATATGGAGTCCTTTCCCCATTGCTTATTTTTGTTGACTTTGTCAAAAATCAGATGATTGTAGGTGCGTGGCATTAATTCTAGGCTCTTGATTCTGTTCATTGGTCTATGTGTCTGTTTTTGTACCACTACCATGCTGCTTTCATTACTGTAGCTTTGTAGTATAGTTTGAAGTCAGGTAGCATGATGCCTCCAGTTTTGTTCTTTTTGCTTAGGATTGCCTTGGCTATTTGGGCTCTTTCTTGGTTCCATACGAATTTTAAAAAGTTTTGTTTTCTTTTCTAATTCTGTGAAGAATGGCATCGGTAGTATAATAGGAAGTGTTGAATCTATAAATTGCTCTAGGCAGTATGGCAATTTTAATAATATTGATTCTTCCTATCCTTGAGCAAGGAATGTTTTTCCATGTTTGTGTCATCTCTGATTTTTTTCAGCAGTGCTTTGTAATTCTTGTTGTAGAGATCTTTCACCTCCTTGGTTAACTATATTCTTAGGTATTTTATTTTTTGTGTGTTAAATAGGTGTTTTAAATTGCATAATCTGCCATTTCTAGATCTGTTTTTGACTGATTCTTCTTCTAGCTCTGCGTTATGTTTTCCTGTTTTTACTCTTTTCTAGTAAAACAGCATTGTAGATATTACCATGTTGAGTGCCTAGATTTCATTGCTTCCCTTAAAAGTGCTGACACTTGTGTTAGCAGGCAGTGAGTTACTTGCAGATCAGCTTGATCATTTGTTGGTTTATTGTTGTGTTCTGTTTGTGTGTCTAGAGTAGTCTTTAGAACTATTTTACCCATCAGGTGTGTCCCTTCTGGGTTCTCTCCTGGGTGCCCTGGTTGTTTAATAAGCTCTCCCCATTGTGGCTATTTGGAATGGCTGTCCCCAGCCTGATGCAAGCACTGTGAATAGTTCACCTCAAAGCTTCATGGCAGGTGTTCTTGCCCTGCTTTGCAAATTTCACCCTACACAGATAGCACTTAATATTCAGCCAAAGGCTCAGGGGGATCCCTTTGCAGATTTCTGGAGCTCTTTCTCTCAGCCGTCCCTCATTGCTAGTAACATGCTCTGCAAATTCCAGTTACCTCAGCCTCTTCAGACTATTTCTGTCTCTTCGTTTCAGCAGGAGCCTGGGCTCTGGGTGCCCCCTCCTTGTCCTGCAGTTTAGGAAGTGCTCCAGGCAGAAAATGGTCACTAATGGAGTTCACCTCCTGTTCCCCTTATCTTATGGATCTCAGACATGTCCAATATGCGCAAACAGTGCTCTACACACAGTTGCCTATTTTCCTAGCTGTTTACCATGAGTGTAACAGGAGCCGTTTCACTGCCATGGCCAGTAGCTCTCAAGTGCATTTTCCATTTGTTCTTTTATGATGAGCAATGCTGACTACATTTCTATCAAAGGTTTTTCATGTACCTTGTCTGTTTACAGGGGGTTTCTCTCTGTTTCGTATTATACATTAAAAAATTAATATTTTTTCTGGAATATGATTTAAAAACATTGACTCCCCGTTACTTGTCTTTTGAATTTGCTTTTTTTCTGTTTTTTCTTAATGAAATCAAATGTGTCTTCTATCTTACAAGGATCTTTTAAAAAAACACAGTAATTTTCCATTTAAAATGGGAAAATAAGCAAGAAGAGCTAGGAAATAATACGTAAAGGAAGAACAATGAGAGCCCAGCCTTGACAGAATCTGTGACACATTACAAAGCCTCAGTAATTAATACATAATAGCAGATGCAAATGTAGGACAAAAATTAATGTACAAAGAAGAAAATTCAGAAATTGACCCAAATATATTTTACAAATTTAATATATAATAAAATTGACATTTCAATTCTATGTTGAAATGATGAATTGCATACTAGATAATGTTCATTTGGGGAGAAACACAAAAAATTAATTCACGGCTCTGTGTTACAGAAAGATAAACTCCAAATTCATTGAAGATGACACTCCAAATTCATTTAGAATGTCAAATATCAAATTATAAAAGAACCAGGAATTATAGAATTTTTTTTCAACTTCATAGTGCAGAAGACCCAAGTATGGCAACAAAATTTCTATATTTCTATATTTTTACATGATCAGCAATTATTTGTACAAAGCACAAGTACACTGTAAAATACAGGAAAAAGTATAGATATGCAAATATGAAGGATAAAAAGCATCTATAACATTAATACCCACCAATACTACTGCCTGCATTTCGATGTATGCTTCAACTGATTCCTATTGCTAAACATGTAGACTGATTCCACTTTTAGCTTTTATAGCCATTACTGTCAGGTGGTAATTATCTTGGGAGAGATGCTCTAGATGTTCAATACATTTTAATTACATATATACATATTATACATATATCTAGATGCTGGATATATTTGAATTAGTTCACTGGAGTGGAAACTTGTTCTTTCTGCTGCTGAATATTTCATCTACTTTATTTCAGAGGCAGCACAACTTGTCTGCTTCCATTGATGCTGCAGCCATAGTATCCAGAGTGGAGTGGGTGACCCGAGGCTGCTGTATCAGGACAACATTCCTCTTTGTGCCACAGCAGGGCTTTATAACCAAAGCTGGTCCAATAACAGCATCTGATGGAGGACTTGTGTAGGAGCTGCCAGAAGAACGTTTTCCAAGGCACTTCTGTTTCCACTTGCTGTGGGATTTTTGTCTCCACGGGGGTAGAGTCTGAGAGCAAAGCCTTGGTAGGGGAGCCTGGCAGGAGGTGGAGAGAGAACCTGGGCTCTGCAGAGCCACACTGAAGTCACAGCAGCTCTAGACTTCTTCGTCAAATGGACCAGCAACATCTTTTTCTGTTAGAGCCAATTTAGACTAGATTTTCTGATACATGCAACTGAAGCACTGTAAATAATACATAAATCTTATCCCCTCAGAAGACTTTCTACTTTGAACTCTCAACCAAGCAGTATTAGAGCAGTCAAATAAGCAAATTCCTCAGTTGAGAGTTGATCTTGCAAACATCCTGCTGTAGGGAAAGGTCATGGCCTGATTTGTAAACACGGGAAGAGAGCCATTGGACTTGGGAATCAGATGCAGCCTCGCACAGCTGCAGACCACAAGACTCATCCTAGACACAGCCTGTGTCACTGTGATCCAGCTGTTGACAAGGCTGGGCACAGTAAGGACATCTTCAGTGTGTCAGTTGAACTACAGAAAATGTTACAGATTCTAATCAAATTCTGATAAAATCATGCCTGGTCATAGTTACATGCAGTGAATTTCTCTGTCAGAACAAAAACATATGCAAATAAAAATGTAGATATAAGCCTCAAATCCCATCCTCAGCATTAAATGATGGCTCACCCATTTTTCTTCTGCTATACCATAAGGCATATAGAGCATGACCTGTTAAGAGTGCTGATGTCCCATTCTATTATATGGCCAAAGTTACGAAGACACAGGTCATTACTAATGAAGTCTCTTAAACCTCATATCGTGGTTAGAATTTGCACTCTCATAAACGTCTTAAGCCCCTTGAATCATGCAAAATCTCTATAAATATTTAAGTTTTTTCCTAAAAAAAAAGGGTGGCTGACAAACCTCAAGCTAATAAACTTTCAGATAAAGTTTTCTTTAAAAAAAAAAGTTAAAATGTTTGAAATTTTCATAGTAACACATTTTTTAAATTAGAAGGGCTTATAAAATACGGTAAAAAAAAATTTTACTTTGGAAACCTCAAAAGTGTAAATCAGCTTAAGATCTGGAAATAATTTTAGGTATTGATCACAGGTCTATAAACTCAATGCTAGAGCCACTGGGGGCAAACACGGACATGAGAATCCTACTTGGAGCCAACTGCCACCTGAGGTGAGAAAGTTGACTACAGTTTCCAATCTAGTCTTCCACGGAGGGTCAGGAATGAAAGCAAGAAGACCCAAGGGCCCCTCTCCACCACTTTCATTACCAGAGTTCAGATTCCCAAACTTTTGCTTCCCTTATATTATTTTCTTCAATGGACTCTAATTATGAAAGGAATACTTACAGGAAAGCAAGCTTAGTAAATTTGGTTTTCCAAGTTCTTATTGATTACATATTCATCAAATTATTAAACCTTATACTTTACGTGAAATGGAGATTAACTCACTAAACTGATAAAATTCCATCTAAGATCAAAGGAACTAGAATGCTGCTAAAGATATATTTAGAATAAGTTGAAGAAATCTTAGCCAAAAGAAAGTGTTGTAGCTAATCTTTGAAGAGGTTTTCAAATGTTGCCTTAAGCTACTTTTATTAACAAAACTGCATTTTGAACCCCACTGCCTGACAACTATGGCCTTTGTTTCTCAAGTCAATTCTTACCTTTCTGTGGCCTTGGTTTAACTACTTCCTTTGTTTTAAGGAAACAAAGCTTGTCAGTTCTCAAAATAAAAACCTGTCTCTCTGGTCAGATCATTAAGTTCCCCAGTCATACTTTAAACCAGACTACCATTTGAACATCAAGTGCTAGCCTGAGCTTGTTTCCAGTCCCCGGAACCCAGCCACAGGGGAAGGAAGAAGACAGAGAGAGGTTTCTCTGCTCCCTTGGGAGACAAGAAAGCCCTTTATTTATCCCTGCCATCCCTCTTCTCCAGCTGAAAAGTGTGATCTTGGTACAGAGCAGGTCCACACATGCCACACTGGTCTGATCGTTTAGAGTAAAGAAAATCTTTTTAAAAACTTCATGTACTTAGGTCTCAAAGAGCAGAGAATTACGTCTCATCATGATGCCACTCACTGGCAAATAAGCTGGCGTGCACAGGGACTTGTGAGGCTCTCAGCAGAGTCAGGGCAGCAGTTATTTCCCTTTGACTGCATCAAAGTCCTACGTTTGTGTTGACATGCCAGATCCTTATTTCTGCGGAATGAGAAATCTCCTGAGAATAAAGATTTCCTAAACAGAAGTATCAAATCACTTTTGATGAGCAAACATTAAACTTTTTTTTTTAACTTACAAAGAATGTGGGGTAACATTTACTAGTTCTACAGAAATTTTGTTTACATGGAACATTAGTGAACTAAATAACCAATTCTCCTTAAACATGATAGACAGGATGGAGGCTATCACTCTGATCATTTTAACCTCCAACATAGTAATTTATAAACATCAATCGCTGCACAAGTATTTTAATAAGAGGCCAGCCCATGGGGGTAAACAGCACCTTAGCCTCGAGACCTGTTATTTCTCTCAACTGTGTGTACAGATTTTCTAAGTCGTTATGAATTCAGATATTCCCTACATCTCAATAAAAACACCTAGGAGAACGAGAAATCAGGACATGCATCTCCTGTAAGCAGAAGAGAAACCGAGCACCTACTCTCTTGCGGGGCAGCTTCCTGTCGCTTTCCAACTCAGCCTCCATGGGGGCACGAGCATATTGGTTCAAATGAAGTGAAAAGGACACATCTCTGTCCACAGTGTAAATCCCATTTCCTTACGGTGGTCAACCGATTCAGACCAGTGTCACACTTCCTTAACGAAGGAAAAACTCAGCAGCCAGCGCTCAGGCCCCGGGATCTGAGAGGACCCGTGCTTGCCACGACGCCGCGGCCCAGCGACCCCCGGCGCCAGGTGTTGGGGGGACTGGCCCTTCCCTTCCGGGTGTGAAGGGCTGGCCCTTCTCTTTCAGGTCGCGGGGCGGGCAAACTCGAACCTCGCCGGAGCCCTACTCAAGGCCTCCTCCCTGCGCCCGCCGCGGGTTCCACGCGCACTCCAAGCGCGCGCACGCGACCCAAACTTCAGAACCGCCTCCGTGGGACGGAAGGATGGTCGCTGACACCTGGCCATTCAAATATCAGGAAGTTAAAAATAACACGACCATCGTCAACATTCCAAACTTCGGGAAAGCTTTTCTAAAAATGGAAAAGACGGTGGCTACACTTCAATCAAAATCGCTGTGGTCAATCAAGTCCTGGGAGCTGCTCTAGCTCAACTTTGGGCGGTTTGCGGTTAACAGACGCGCGACCTAGAAACCCCAGAGGCATCGTCGGTTTTCCTGCCCTCCTCCTCCCACCACCGCCCAGCTCCTGAGAGGGGAGGGGGCGGCAGGACAGGTGGGACCCCGGTACTCACTGGTGCCCGCCCGGCCGTGGCGCCCGGTCCCAGGAAGAGGAAGGCGCGCCGCCCCGCCCCGCGGACTGGGAGGCCCCAGTGAGGGCGGACCTGCGGCAGGTGAGGGAGGCGGCGCAGGACACCTGCCGTGTCTGTTTGGCGGACAAAACCCACGCGCCCGCCGGGCCGCGCTCCGGCCTTCGCCCCCGGGGACTTCGGAACCGCCCCGTCCTTAAGCTCGAAAAGCCCACGGCCTCGCGGCGGCTCCAAGCACGGCGTTGGGAGTGGGGGTCCCGGGGGGCGCCCAGGCTCAGGCCCGCCCTGGTCCGGCGTGGACCCTGCGGGGCTCAAGGCAGGTTCCCCCGCCTGACCCAGCCAGCCTCTCTCTGCGAACTCGGACGACGCGCGCCACAACCCGCCACGTGCGCGGGACTCGCGCTGTGCCCCAACCCAGGTGGGCCGTCCGCGGAGCCGCCGAGCCTGAGCCCGCCCCGCAGGTGACTCTCGGCCCTTTCTGGTAACCTTTATCTCCCGCGGTTCCTTCCTCTCCAAGCGACCCGCAGCCCCGCCCCCTCCAGGTGACCCCCCCACTCCCCCCGCCCCCTCGGTGACCCCCCGCCTTTCGCGGCCTACTCCCCTCAGGTGACCCCACCCCCCCCCCCCCCCCGCCTTTCGCGGCCCTACTCCCTCCAGGTGACCCCACCCCGCGGTTCCTCCTCCTTCGGACAACCTGCAGCCCTGCCCCTGCAGGTGAACGACGGCCCAGTCCTCGCAGCTGACCCGCGGACCCTCCCCACCCGCCCTCAGACCGTCGCAGAACCGCCCCCGCAGGCGCACTGCAGCCGATTGCGCAGGCGTGGCTCCAGCACGCGTTGCCGTGGCGGCGTTGGTGCGGGACTGCGCCGGCGCGCAGGGCGAGAGGCTGGCAGTGCGCATGCGCCGCGTCGGCGTGCGGAACGCCGCGGTCTGTGGGCGCTTTTGCGCGCGGAAAGATGGCGGAACAGGCTACCAAGTCCGTGCTGTTTGTGTGTCTGGGTAAGAGGGCGCCGACTTACTCGTGTTCTGACGTCCCCTCGAGGGTTGGATCGGGCTTGGGCGCTGTGGATTATGCCGCCGGGCTAGGAACAATGAGGGGGGGAGGCCAGGGACTGGGAGGGCTAGGGTGTTCCAGGAGTGTCTCGCAGCCCCCCCGTTCCCCATCCGCCCCGTTCACCGGCCCAGCCTGCCCTGTAAACCTGGGTCCCCTCGCACCTGCCATATATCCAGGGCTTTTGGCATTTGCAGCCACAGCCCCTACAAGCCAAGGTTTGTTCTTTGCACCTACTAGAATCCCTCTCGTTCCCCTCCAATGGGCCCAGGTAGGCCTGGGGTTGTCGGACTGATGTGGCCTCTTAGGGGCCTCCGGAGTCCTATGACAAAATTGTTTTGCTTGCTGGTTTCCTTAGGCCGTTCTTAGATATGGATCTGAGCTAAACGGAGATGAAGTTTTACGGTTTCAGGTTTCTTGATTGTAAAAGCCAAGCCAAGGAGACCTGGAGGTCCCTATATAACTTTGCCCATGAAAAATTAAAGTGTATTTTATTAATGGCTTTTAGGAACTTTCCAGCTTAAAATATTTTCACTCCTGGAATTTCAACACTTAGCTTACCTTACTTCAAACATAATTTACTTTCCGTTTGGTTTTCAGGGATCTTCCCTCGGTGTAGTACTACAAGGTTATATCCTGAGAGGAAGGCCTAAATTGTCAGTAGTCCAGTTACTTAAAACCTTCTGTGAGTTTACATTTCCTGCAGAGTAAAATTTCTGTTTATTTTTACAGACTCCTCACTTTATCTCCTGTACCTTTTCCTGCTCACACTCTCGGGACACTGGCTTACAGAATCTTTCGTTGTTCTGTAGCACTTCATATGCTTACTGAGCCTCCATGGCTGGGTGCCCATTATGCATTTTGCCTGGAACGTCTTTTTATTTTATAAAGTCAAACCCAAATATTTCCTCCTTTGCTTTCCCAGACCATGAGTTGCTTCTTGTGATTGCTTATCGACATCCTTTATTACACAAATTTTACTATAATTATTTGGTAGTCTGTTGAAATTCCAGCTAAGTTTAATTTTCTGGAGGGTGATAACTGTGGCTTATTTTTTATTTTGTTTCCAGCTTTAGGACAATATATGATAAACGCTGACTAGATTTTGTAGAAGTTGATTTCTGTGAAAGAAGATTTGGAAGGCTCGCCTTATTTCACATTGGTAGTGGGCATCATTTGATTTTTTTTTTTTTTTTTTTTTTTTTTTTGAGGCGGAGTCTTCTCTCTGTTGCCCAGGCTGGAGTGCAGTGGCGCCATCTCAGCTCGCTGCAAGCTCCGCCTCCCGGGTTCGCGCCATTCTCCTGCCCCAGCCTCCCGAGTAGCTGGGACTACAGGCGCCCGCCACTGCGCCCGGCTAATTTTTTGTATTTTAGTAGAGACGGGGTTTCACCGTGTTAGCCAGGATGGTCTCGATCTCCTGACCTCGTGATCCGCCCGCCTCGGCCTCCCAACCCAAAGTGCTGGGATTACAGGCGTGAGCCACCGCGCCCGGCCCATCATTTGATTTTTTAAGACTTATTGAAGGCTGAATGAAATCAATAAGTTTATTAAACAGTGGTTTGGTTAAGGATGGTTACCAAATACTATTCCATTCCCTTGTATAGTTCTGGTTGGTATTGTCGATTATGCTGGTATAAGGTATCATGGTTGCTGTTAACGGGGAGGTGGATCCTTGCATATGCAGTAGTCCCACTTTAGCTGTAGGTGGTACGTTCCAAGACTCTCCAGTGGATCCTGAAACCGTGGATAGTACCGGACCCAATTGCTGTCAATTGGAACATGTGTCTGCTCATTTCTTCCACCCGCAAATGTAATGCCGTTTCCACCTTAACTAAGCACTTACAACTGTGGTCGCAACTTTCGCAGTTTGAGGCGAGACGACAAACTGTCAGGAATTTCTTTTTCCTTGTTTACATTTTCATGGATAGAAGATTTGTTCGTATCGTAGATCTTAGTAACCTCAGTATAAGATTTTTTTTTTTTCTTTCCATAAGAAGTCAAAAACTTTCACCTTTTTACTTAAAGGTAGTGCTTATGGCCTCTCTGCCGTATCTGAATTGCTAGCTTCACTACTCTTATGCTTTGGGACCATTACTAGTAAACTAAGGGTGACTTGAACTAAGGCACTGTGATAGCATATCACAATGGATCTGATAAGCAAGAGGGCAGTAGGTGGATAGACAGCATGGATACGCTGGACAAAGGCATGATTCACTTCTGGGGCAGGACGGAATGGGATGGCATGAGAATTTATCCTGCTGCTTAGAACAGTGCACATTAAAACTTAGGAATTATTTGTGGAATTCTTCATTTAATATTTTCCAACTGAAACTGACCACGGGGTAACCATGGAAAGCAAAGCCTTGTAATATGGGGGACTACTGTATTTCAATACAATTCAATGATTTGTTGTTGTTGTTGAGCGTCTACTATATGACATGCACTCCTCTAAGTGGTAGGGATATATGGAGTGGTGAACACAACAGACAAAAATCCCAGCCTCTCTGGAGCTCACGTTCTCTCAGTCACCAGCCAGTGTTAATCGATGCACTCAATCGGTTGGTATGAAGCATTAAGAAAAATAGAGCAGAAAAGGGGAATGAGAGTGGAGTGCAGTTTTGAGTGGGGTGGTCAGGGAAGGCCCCACCTGATAGATGACCTTTGAGTAAAGACTTGAAGGAGGTGAGGAAGCAAGCCTAGGATATTTTGGAGAAGCATCCTGAACCCAGAGGAAAGCAGGTAAAGGTTTTGAAGGGAGAATACTGGCCATGGTCGTGAACCACAGGGAAGCCACAGTGGCTGGGCCTGGTGGCTGGATACCTTTTCTCAGTCGAGATTCCTCATCTATACCGGAAGATTTAGCAGATAATTTGAGTGACTGTTTTCTCAGTGCTTCCATTGTAGATGTATAGGGAGAAGTTAATTCCTTATATACACTGGTCCTTTAGGGCAGGAGTCTGCAAATTCTTTGTGTAAAGAACCAGATTATAATTATTTTAGATTTGCTTCACATGCCATACAGAAAGGATGTAGCACAAAGTACCCATGCATGTGGTGAACCTGGCTGTGTTCTAGTGGATCTTCATTTATGGACATGACAGTTGGAACTCCATATAATTTTGACATGTCACAAGATATGCTACTTTTGGATTTTTTCCAACTACTCAACAATGTAAAAATTATTCTTACCGCTGTGGGCTGTACACAAAGGTGGACCATGAGCCAATTTACAGACCCGTGTTTTATATCCAGATCTTGGGAGGCCATGTGAAGACTTGGGCTTACTCTAAATAAACATTGGAAGGTTTTGAGCAGACGTGGGAAATGATCAAATTTAAGTTTAAAAAGAAGAGTTTCAGCTGTTGTTTTGAGATTAAACTGGAGGTGGAGCATGCCCTTACTGGTTGGGTGGTGAGTAGTTGCATTCTGAGGGAATTTGAGCGGTAAGTGGCACTTTATTTGGTAGCCGTGTAGAGGAGAGTAACAGTTGTATGCTTTTGGAATGTAAAAAGTTTTGTTCCTTCAAAGCATTTATTTGGACCCTTTTGAGACTGAAGTGTAGAAAAGCATCAGAGGTTTTTCACCAGGGAAGCTAATGATGGGAAATAATTGAGCTGCTTACTACAGCCCAATCATGAAGGGTGCTTTATGTTTTTGTAAGATAGAGACTTACCAGTGAAGATGATGCAGGAGCCATGACCCAGCCAGCATGGTTGGTGGAGATAGCACATGCTGGTGGAGTCACTTTACTTCTGGGCTACACCCGTACTGGGTGCTGGGTCTCTTACCAGGTATAGCAGACACAGCCCTACCCTCCCAGAGCCTACCTGTTGCCTTTTATGAGTCTCCATCCTTGAATTGAAGGTGCTGAAGAAGGGTATAAAATAGTCTGCCTAATTTGGAAAAGACAAACTTGATACTTTACAGATTGGAACAGTTTTTAAAGGCATTTGAGGTTGGAGTGTTCTGTTTTTAGAACTTGTTCTGTAGGTGAAGTACATGCAGTGTTTCACTGAAGACCAGGGTGCTCCATTTTTTCATGACACAATTTGGTGGCATCAACTTTCGAAATCAACAGGGCAAACTACTATTAGCCTTCAGGACAGTTAATAATGCAAGTTTTCATATTGTGGGGAAAGTGAACTGTTATTTTACAGTTAATGATAATTATTTGTAAACGTGTGGGGCTAGTCTTTATTATTACATTTTTAGATGCTGAGATATTAGGCATCTGTTGTACAGTTCCAAAATAATAAGAAGTGTCTTAATTTAGAAATACAATGTTTGCTGTTAAAAATATTCCCAGGGTATATGGTGACAAGTAAAAGAGTTACACACCCATGGGAAGCCTTTCAGTAATTAAAATAGTGCTGATGACAATACCTGTTTAAAAAACTAAACAAAATTTAGAATGTCGAAAGGAACAACTTCACAACACAAATTGGCATAGAGAGGGCATTCGAGGCTAATTTGTTGTCTCTCCCTTTATGGTTT